GTCTCCCACCCTCTAAGTTACTCTCCCTTCTTGTCTCAATGAGTTCAGTGCCTGGTTTATAGTCTTTCTCTCCTTCTCAACTCTTGTTTAGGAGACTTCAACATATACATTGATAATCCCTCAAATATCATAACCTCACAGTTTCTTTCTCATTTTGAGGAGGCAGGGATGAGAAGGCTGTTATTATTTGTTTTAACTATATTAATTTCCTCTTTTGTAATTGTTTTTGGGTTTAGACAATTCCTCCAAAGCTCCAAGGCAGGGCTTCAGTTATCAGAACTACGTGCACTGTGTCCTTTCTCCAAAGAATATGCTACATCTAGGAATCTCTCATTAGAAGGCCTAGTGCCACATGACTACTGTGGAACTATGTTTGATATGATTGCACATGTGTAACCTATATCAGATTGTTTGCTGTCTTGGGGAGGGGGAGAAGAGGGAGGAAGAAAAAATTTGAAACTCAAAATCTTATAAAAGTGAATGTTGAAAACTATCTTTACATGTAATTGGAAAATTTAAATATTATCTAGTGGGGGGGGAATTTTTAAAATAAAAAGAAACATACTTAAAAAAAATAAAGATTCAGAGCCTTTAAAAAAAAAGAAAAAAGAAAGAAAGGCCTAGTGCCAAAAGAAACTCAAGAACTTGGGGCTGTGTACTAGGCTATTTACAAAGTGAAGCCTCCACTTTCTGGCTGAGTGGACAAGTACATGTCACTTTCTATGGTGTTCTTCTGCAAGAATTCTGTAGTACCCTGGTTGCTACTAGCTCTTAAGCTAGGAAAGTACCCTTAAAGGTCTCCAGTCTCTGATTTGTATTCATAAAGGAAAACAAAAAGTCAGAAGGTGGCCAGGATCTTAAGGTGCAAAAGCTCTCCATCTCAAGTCACTAGGGCACATGCAGGGCTATGTGCTCCTGCTAAATTGCCATAATCTGGCAGGGGGAGGAAACTGCACATACACTCAGGTTACATCCACCCTAATCTAATGTAGGGAGTGGAAGAGAAGATAAAAAGAGGAAGAAGGGCCAAAGAGTAGAATTACTGGGAAGGACTTTACTTTTTAATGATATGGAGGAGGTAAAGTTATCCTTTTATAATTGTGGTGAGCTAGAGTTGCATGGAGGAAATGAGATCCTTTGGCCTATTTAGTTATGCTTTTAAGTCCCTGGTGGAAGGCAAAAGGGAGTCTCCATCCAATCCCCACAAAAAAAGTGTAATCCCTTAGTAGAGATCTTCAAAGAGGACAGAATTTAGTACTATTCCCCTAATGGAGTTCTTACTGAGGGGGAGAAAAAGGGAAAAAAATTGACTAAAGTTTTTTAGCTTAAATCCAGAGGCCAAGTTGAAATAATAGTTAAAAGTAGAAAAGAAATAAGCATGTTTAAAGTACCTTCTATGTGCCAGGCACTGGGCTAACTTTACAAATATTACCTTATTTGATTTTCTCAAGGACCTTGGGAGATATGTGTTATTATCATCTCCATTTTGCAATAGAAGAAACTGAGGTAGGCAGAGCTTAAGTGACTTGCCCCGGATCACATAGCTATTAAGTGCCTCAGGTTGGATTTTAATTCAGGTCTTCCTGACCCCAGGCCCAGTACTCTATCCACCCTAACACTTAACTGCCTCAGTAAGGTACTGACAAATATTTTGTTCTCCAGACAAGATACATGAAGCATAAAACAATCAAGAAGAAAACTATGGCTGTATATGTCAAGAGGATTACTGGCATCCTGAAGTCAAAGCACAATGATATGATAACATATTTAGAGTAATTAACATCTACTCAGTATCAGTCTTAACAATCATTTTGAAGCAATAAGATGGACAACGACAGAGTTGAAAAGTTTCCAAGAACATTTGGAAATTACCAAAATAATATTAATGAGACACAGGACCCATCAACCCAAAGCAGCTTTAGAAAAATTAATACTTCTCCAAAAAGGAAGAAGAACATTGACAGATATCTTCAAAGCACATGATAAATAGGTTAAAAAACTAAAGAAACACTTCTGGAAAAAACAGGTCATTTTTAAAAATAAATTTATTTATCTTACATGCACTTGAAATCTCTTCCTCCCAGTGGAACTGCAATTGAACAATAACAACTCCTCCCCCAAAAAAATAATAATAATAAAACCTTCATTATAAACATGCATAGTCCAACAAAAGAATAGACACCATTTCACAGATAAATAGTAAAGGCTAACAATAGATACATTCCATCGGATTTGTCAAGTGAAACCAGAACTGATTTACCTCAGATAGTGCCTATGAAATGCCTTAGATCAAAGAATAGAATGAAAATCTGTCCATGGATGATATTCACATGAACTCAACCAATAATAGGCCAAAAAAATTGAACAAATGGCTAAACCATGCAGATTTATTTACAGAAATGGAAGGGTTGCTGATATCAATTCAAGAACAGGTCATTGTTACCAGAAATTACAGAAAGTTTATTACCCTTAAGGAGCCTAGTCTAATTAATTGATACAGATTTTGAAAGGAAAGGTAATACAACATGTCACTGCAAATTGCAAAAGTTTAGCATGGTGCTAGATGCTAACAAGATGATACTAAGCTACCAAATATCTAACAAGAAACAACCTGACAGCCAGAATGATACATCAAAAATTCACTATCTTTCACAACGTAGCAAATTATAAGTACCTGTACTACATGTGAAGATCTCAAGATGTCATTGAGAATTCAACAAATAAACTATACTAGAACTGACTAGAGCAATATCCTCTCCATTAACTTATCTATACCTGGAGTTATCCTTATGATGATGTCAGTAAGCCAAGAAAAGATCAGTTTATATAGCAACTTATATACTTTTATTCAATTAAAAAGCATTTTATCCATTTATGTTCACAGAATATTAAACATTAAATAAAAATAATAGGATTATACCTAAGCTTCATCAAACCAAGACAATAAGAAAATAGCAGAGCGCATTTATAAATCATTTTAAATTTTGTAAAAATTCTTTGCCTAAATTATCTCATTTGATTCTTACCACAACCCTGTTAGATAAGAACTAAAGGAATTATAATTCCCATTTTACCAATGAGGAAACTGAAAGAGATGTGTGTGGTATGCCCCACCCCCTGACAATAAGTAGCAGGGCCCAGTACTTGAACTCAGGTAATTTTATTTCAAGCCTAGTGCCACTAAATAGCTGTATATCCTGGGGAATTAGATACTGTGTATGTGTGTGTGTGTGTATGTATGTATGTATGTATTTATGTATACTTATATGCTAGCATATACAAAGTATATATATACAATAGCAAAATGCAAAGTATTTTACAGACATCAAAGTACTAACATTAATTCTCTTTCCTGGATCTCAGTTTTCTTATCTGTAAACCAAAAAAACAAAAAACAAAAAAACAAATTAAATTTTTTTTTTGCTATAATGTTCTATGGAGTTTCTATTCTATTCCAATATTTGCTTTAATGTTCTACTATCTAATACTTTATGGAGTTTTTGTTTTATTTTGTAGTCTGTGGAGAGCCAGTAGAGATATCTAAGCAGGACAGTGATTTGATCAGAGCTCTACAATAGGATTATCAATTTGGAAATGCCTCATAGGATGGATTAGAAAGAAGTAGAGACCAGAGGCAAGTAGAACACTTAGGAGGCTATTATGTCATTTAGGTAAAACTTAGTGAAACCTGGAATAAGGTGGCAACAGTGAAGGGGAGGAGATACAGAAATAGCCACATGAGAGATTACAAAAAGGTAAAATTAACAGGATTAGTAACTGATTGTATGTGAAGGGCGAGGTAGAGATAAGTTAAAGATTGAGGAAAAGTTTCATAGCTGACTGGGAAAATGAGTTAGGAGAAGGGCCAGGTTAGTCAGTCAGTTAACAAGTACCTACTAAGTGCTTACTACATTCTAGGAACTATAATGAGTGTTACAAGGTTCTGAGGAAACAATGACAAGTTAAAATTTGAACATGTTGAGTTTAAGGCACTATGAGGACAACTAGATGGATATGCCCAGTAAGCAATTGGAAATAAAGGATTGGCCCTCTGGGGAGAGGTTAGGGCTGGACATGAACATTTAAGTATCATTTGTGTAGAAATGATCATTAGAGCCATGGGAGTGAATGAGATTGCCAACTGAAAGAGTGCTAAGAGAGAATAGAAAATGGATGAGAGGGGCAGCTAGGTGGCGCAGAGGACAGAGCTCTGGCCTTGGAGTCAGGAGGACCTGAGTTCAAATCCGGCCTCAGACTTAAGGAAAGCCTATGTTTAGAAGGCAAAGGGAAGAGATGAACCAGTAAAGGAGACAGAAGATTAAGTACAATCAGAGACATAAGAGATAAATCATGATAGTGCAAAGAAACTGAGGAAAGCTAGTCATAGCAACACACTTCATGGTACAAAAAAACTGGAAACAAAGTGGATCTCCATGGATTAGGGAATAGCTAATATAATATAATATATATAATATAATAATAGCTAGGGAATAGCTGAAAAAATATATAATATAGGAATGAAATAAAATATAATTCTGCAAGAAGAAATGAAAAATATGAAGAATTCAGAGAATTGTGGGAAGAGCTGTATGAACTGATGCAGAGGGTAATAACTAAGAGAACAACATACCCAACAAAATAAAATTTAAAAGTCACTGAAAGGAAGTTGAACTCTGAGTAATGGGAAAATCATTGAAGGTCCCAATGAAACATACCTCCTCCTTTCTTATGGCAGAGAGGTAGAGAATTACAAGGACCCGACAATATGCATTGGTAGACAAGGTCTCTGTTTCAATTTTTTTTCCCTTTTGTCACAAGGGAGAATTCAATCGGGAGAGAAGAATGGGAAATGATTGTAATGTAAAGATAAAAAGCACCAATAAAATGTTTTTTTAATAAAATGAAAAAGGAGAATGTGATCAATAGCGTCAAATATTCATCAGAAGTTATGAAGGTAAAATTGACAGGTCTTAGTGATAGATTTAGATATGGGTGTTAAGAGAGAGTAAGGAGTCAAGGATGACACCCAGGTTTTGAGCCTAGATAACTGGGAGGATAGTGATGCCATCAAGAGTAACAGCAAAATTTAGAAGAGAGGAGTGTTTAGGGGGAAAACTATTTATTTCAGTTTTAAACATGTTGAGTTTAAGATGTCTATGGGATATCTACTTCAAAATGTCCAAAAGGTGATTGGAATTATGAGTCTAGAGTTCAGGAGAGAGGTAGAGCTGGATAAGTAGATCTGAGAATTACCAACATAGAGATGCTAATTTAATCCATCAGGGCTGATGAGAGCACCAAGTGAAGTAGAACAGAGGGAGAATAGAAGAGTACAAAGCCTTGAAGAACATTCATGGTTATGGGGCATAATCTTGATGAAGAACCAGCAAAAAGAATTAAGAAGATAGGAAGAGAGTAGTGTCCAGAAAACCTAGAGAGATAAGTGTCTCTCAAATGTCTTTGACAGTGTCAAAGGCTACAGAGAGGTCAAGAAGAAGTGACCTTGAGGAAAGGCCACTAGATTTGGCAATTAAGTGATCAATAATTTTGGAGAGAACAGTTTCTGTTGAACGACGACAATGAAAGCCAGACAGTTGAAAGTTAAGAAAAGAGTGAGAGAAAAGGAAGCGGAGGCATCCACTTAGATGACCTTCTCAGGACTGGCCACAAAAGGAAGGAAAGATATGGGACAAAAGGTAGTGGGGCTTGCCAGACCAAGTGGAGTTTTTTGAGGATGAGGAAGATATGGACATGTTTATGCACAATAGGGAAACAGCCAATAAACAGGGAGAGATTGAAACTAAGTGAGAGAATAGGGATAATAGAGGGCACAATCTGCTGGAGAAGACAAGATGGAATGGGATTATTTGTGTACATAGAGGGGTTTGCCTTGGCATATGAGACTGGGGTGATGGAAAAGATTGTAGCAGAAGGCATCTAGGTGACACGAGATGAGGAGGAAAAGAGATGAAGGACCTCTGAGTGTCAAACTTTGGAGGAACAGTGGGAGAAGAGGTGCCATTGAAGCAGCAGACACAGTGCCCTAAAAACTAAAAGCTTTTTAAAGAAACAAATTTTAATTGAAGAGTTGTTTTTCCAGTACCTTGTGAGGCCCCTCCTGAACTTGAGAGCATCCTAGAGTCTCTTTTCCTTATCTTGAGACACCCTAAAACTTCCCCCTTATCCTAGGCCATAAAACTTCCTTGTCTCCCTCATCCTGAGTCATGAAATTTCCCATCTTCCTTATCCTGAGTCCCCTTTCCTGTCATCCATCTTCCTCATCCTGTATCATGACAACCCCTCCCCTTATCTTGTAAGATAAAACAGACCCCTATCCCTTGGTAAGTTGCTAGTCCTCTTTCCAGAGCTAGCCCACTGCTTTTGCGTCAATAAAGCTCCCAATGATTACAGAGAAGGTCTAAGTGAACTCTTTCACACCTGAACCAGCTCTCCCAACTCTAGATCTCAACATAAAATGGTGCCGAAACCTGGGAGTCCAAATATTAATCGGATTCTGCTGATCTTCTCCTGGCCACTGGGATAACAGGTAAGCCCTCTTTTCTTTGTTCTCTTCCCCCGACCTTTTCTGCTCCTACCGTCTCCCTGGCTGAGAGACCCCTGGAGTGCTCAGACACTGCCAGTGGCGTCTGAAGCTCCACTGACCTCTGGGCGGTCAGTCAGACTGTTGACCCTCGAATAAGGGGATGCCCTTGTGCTGGGTTGGTCATGGTTTTTTCCTCTCAAGTGTCTTGGGACGCTAAGACAAGGGAGAGGCTGCTAGGAGACTGTTAGGATGGGAGATTCGGGGAAGGAGATCTTAAAGAAAAGCACCTAGTGTTCCACTATAACACAGCCTGACCTCAATGCAATCTAGAAAAATAATTTGTAAAGGGTATTTCTAAACAAGACAAGCTTAGTAAGAAATTTGGTATCCAAAACTTAAGTAAAAAACACTTTGCTCTGCTTGAGCAGACTTTTATTCTCTTGCACTCTAGTTTATCCTGTGTTGTCCCTTCTCTTTCCCCGTGGGACACTGGGGAGGAGGGTAAGTGGGCGTTTGTGCCTGGTTTTCTTTTGGGGGTCCCTGTGCCCCGTTTCAGGGTCTCATTTTCTAGTACATGCAGCTCAAAATTCCCAGGAGGATGGGAATGGAGAGCTAGACTGCTTAAGGCTTATCTGATAAATCTCAAAGGTAAAAGAGATGAGGAACTACAGCTCTTCTCCAGCCGAGACTGGAAGGTATGTAAGCCTCCTCTCTCTCCCTATCCCTTTTCTCACCCTGTAGTTGAGGTGGCTCTCCAAGCACCTAGGAAGGTCTGACCTCTCAGGTCCAACCAAATGGGTCAGACAGCTACAAGGCTGTCTCACATTCAGCCTGACCTCTCAGGCTCTCGGTCCAGCAGTTTGAGGCCATGGACCTGAGCACACCTTCCACAGCATAGAGGACAACTCTCTATCCCAAAGCTTATGTTCAATTCTTTCAAATCTCTGGGTGCTAGGGAATTGGGAAAATTGCAATTACTCCCTTCCCTCTGCACCCCGAGACTCTTGGAAACTCCAGTTCAAAGAAGTAAAAAGTTTTTTGGAGCTGGAAATTGTCCCCATGTGTCTTCAAAAAAAAAAGTGCATTTATGGCTAATAATCTTTTCTTTTAAAGTGCTAAGAGTATTGGGCCTTAGAAATTAAAATGTTACCATTAGTGATTATGAATCTAGATCGTATTTGCTCATCCAAATAAATTTAAGGTCACTTGATTGGGAATTAACTGGTTCTGTGTCAAGCTTTAAATACATGATAATTGCTTGTGGTATGGTTATATTTCTAAATTTTCTTATATTGTGCAAATTTGGTTAACAATTGCATCACTTGTGTTGTTAGAAAAGCAATTTCTCTTATAATCTAGATGTTGTTAGATCAAGAATTGTACTGTCAGATTATGAGGTTGTTAACTGTGACAAGGGTTTTTGGAACTATCTAGTCATAATTTCTTATCAACCCTGTGCAAGTCTCCCATAGTGGAATTCCTATTGAATAAATTTTTAAAGGCCTGGTAAACTTTGTTATTGTGATAAGGCTAATTTAATTGTGTATGTTCTTGACTTAGGGGAAAAAAAACAGAAACTTCCCAAGGTAAACACCTTTTGATGCTTAGAAATTTGTGATTACTGAGAATTTTGGTTTTATGGCAATTTGGGGGTTTGTGATACTTAAAAGACGTTTTACATCAACTTGGTTTTGATAAATTCCAATCTTTAAGGTTTCCAGTTAATTTACTTCATGAAAGTTAAGTGATTATTCCTTCTAACATCAGGATAAACTGTAAGATTTTTTTTGAGAAAGGGAAATACTTGTTACACAGTAATGTTTTGCAAAATCTTTTTGTGTAATTTTTAGAAGGCCTACTAAATTTCCTTTTGCAGGCTAATTTGTTGCAGTAATTTGATACTGATAATAATTATGTCCAAATCTACTGTGAATTTTCTAAGTTTCATTCCTAAGTTTGTTGTGTCCTTGGATCGGGTGCTTTCAGATAAACAGAGTCAATAGTTGGTACTTCAGATACTATAAGAAAGGGCACTGGTCTCATGAATGTGGGTCTGAAAGTTCAATGCCCCACTCTAAATTTTTATGGGGTGGACATAGAAGTGAACAAGTTAGGACAGTTAAAACATCTTAGCAGATTCTGGAAGTTTTGAGATTGATCATTAAGGAGTTTTTAAACACCTCCTCACAATCTTGTCACTCCCTTTCCTCACTCCCTCCCCTAGAGTCAAGAGGGTTTCTCTGTGTGGGGATTCCAAACAGCCTCAGGTTTTTTCTGTTAACCCCTTTCATCCCAGATCAGATTAGGAAGAGAGTGTTTCACCCCCCTCACTCCGGCCTGCAAGTTCACCTTCCCTCACCTGACTATAGGATTGAGGGGGAGAAGCAGCAGCTACAGCCTGGAAGTATCTTCCAGCACACAGCTGTGGGGAGAGAGTGAAGAGGGATGGGTCAAGATAAAGAAGTCTGTCTGTGTCTGTACTTGAAAAGCCAGCCCATCCTTCTATCAATAATGTTTATATGATTTGGAAATGCAATTGTTGTCATCTAAAGTTTATTGTTTTGTGTTACAGCTTTGTTATCTCTTATGGTCATCACTTTGGTTATCACTTATGAGAATTGTATTGTTTTAATGCTAAAACCTAAAGCAGGCAATTGATTACTCTGTGTGTGTGTGTGTTGAAGACTGCCCCTGAGGGGCTAGTGAAAAAAAACACAGCCCATAGAAATTCTAAAGATAGATGGGCTGGATGAGGCAGCCCCTTCTCTGAGATCCCTGTTGATCCTCCTTAATGTTGTAAACTTGCCAAAGAGCTTGTTTGGATCATGGAGTTCCTAAACAAGAAACTTGGCCTGCTGAGAATTTGCAAGTATATAGAAATCATCTCTAGTGATTGGTTTTTGCACAAGGACAAGTTTAAATTTGAGATGTGGGTCCTGGTAAATTTTTTGATTAGGGAACTTGCCATCTGAGATAAAAGCTCATGGGACCATAATGAATTGTGTTTTGAGTTGTCTGATGGATCATAAAAATCCATCCATAATCAATAGTCAGTAATCCACCATCTGAGAGAAATGACACAAGCTACTCAGAGAGAATGTGATTGTTACAGGTGGAGGTCTGCATCTAGAAAAGCTGAGAGGACAGTCTTAGACTCAGCCTAGGATGGGATCCTCCTGGCTCAGTTTCCCCATTGTGTTCCTTTGAAAAGGAATGTTTCCCACCTGACTATTCCTGAGTATGGCTATGATGTGGAATTGATACCACATGGTTGGAAAACTGTGATGTCCTTGCTTTTCCTTTTTATGGCAAATTTCTGTGATCAAAGCAAATAGACAGTAAAAGATAGGAGCACAATGCAAGTATGTGAAATCTTGCTATTTTCAGTCTGAATGCGTAGTCATCCCATATCTTAAACAGTTAGGTAAATTAGTACTCCTGCATAGTCATGTGAAAGATTAAATCCCTGGAATAAAACATTCTTTCTAAATGATATGGGAATAATTAGACAAAAAGAAAAAGTTTGTGAAACAAAGGTACAAACACAATGTTGAATCATTATCCCACAGACTAAGACTGGGATACATCTGAGCTACTATATTAAAGTGTGTGTTTAAGATCTGAGCTATTCAGCCTAAGATTATATTCCTTTCTATTTCTTAAGCAACTTAGGAAATGAATATTTGGCCTAGATATCTGCCTATTACTAGATATGTTTGTATGGAATAAGGTCTTTAAACATTTCAAAATGATGTAAGAATAACTGGGTATTGTTACAACTGATTGAGGGACCTAGCTGTTATTCTATTACTACTGAAACTAAGTCAAAGACATCTTCAGATTGGGGAAAAGAATTTCAGTGCAATTTTCTTAGAAGGAGGTAACTAATGGAATATTTTTGCATTAATGGAAAAGTCAATTTCATTTAAACTTTACTACTATTGTGGAAATAATACCTGTTTATTCTGTGTGTCCTGTGGTACAAACATGTTTTATTGTAAACAACTTATTGATATGCACTGTTTTGGAATTAATTACTTAGGGATCTTCCCAGCTCTTTTATGGTAACTAGAGTAAAAGTCAGTCTCTTATAAGCAAATTTATTTGTATAACTACTGAACTCAAGAATAGAAAGCTTCTACTTGGAAAAGTGTTGTTACTTATAATTATATGTATAGAGTTGAATCCTCAATAGCATCTGGTCCTCCTAAAAGAATTGGAATCATAGTGGAAACTTTTGAGGAAACAACAAGATCAGATAATCCTCTATGTCAAAAGTAAATAATAGTATCATGGGGCTCTTGGTTTCTTTCTTTGTTTTCCTCTTTTCTGACATCATTTTTAATGCTCATTCTATTTGGGCTCTGCCTATTGAACTTATTTGTCAGATTTATGTTTCCTAGACTATTGGCTGTCCACCTGCAGATGGTCATGCAACGAGGATAACTGTTCCACACTCTTCTCATCCCCTGGATGCTGCTTCAGCTTCATTTTACTCCTCTCCCCACCCCACTGAGGCAGGGACAGCTCCTTTGTCCCTCTTCCAAGAGCATTTGGGTGAATGGTGAGGCAGACAGAAGTGCTAGAGGCAGATGAAGCAAGCAGGATGTGAGATATGGAATAAGATTCAGGGTGGGACGAGCCAGAAAAGTGATCAAAGAAGACTATGCATTGAAGCCCCTCACTGTGGACTTATCTTCATACTTTTTAGCTATGCTTTGTTCTGGGCCCCACTTTGAACCACTTCTGTTCCTAGCTCACACTCTGCCCAGGGTTAGGCCTGCTTCCCGGGAACTGGAATTCTAAAGCCTTAATTCAAATAGGAAACTCTGTAGCCGAGTATGTGATTGCTGGGTATGCCAACTAGTTTACTCCCCATAGCTCTCCCCTTATTCCCTGAAAACCAAGCATGGAATTTATCTTTTGAACATTAGGACTCTGCACCTACAGGATACTACAGGCAGCCTCTTGGATGCAGGACATCCACTCCAGCCTGATATCTCCCCCTACGTCATCCTGGGGGCCATGGTTCCTCTATCATTTTACTCCCTCTTATATTTGGTCCATGTTTGTTTAACTCCTGATTTGCTTTGTGCATTCTTGCCTGCAGAAGTTCCACTTTCAACTCTTGAGATACCAGCCCCTACCCTTGGTGTCCCCGAGTGGTTCGCCTCTCTCCACGCTGGACTCAGCTTGCACTGCATCCCACACCTTCACACTGAACTCCGCTCCTCAACCTATTCCCAGCCCTTGAAATGGACTCTTTGCCCCTGTACAGCAGGAAGCAGCTACTGAAGATAATGACCTTCGCCCCTAGTGTTTGAGTTTCTCCTGCCTGGTGTTTGAGTGGGGAATGAAGCAGAAGACATACAGTACCCTAAAAACTAAAAGCTTTTTAAGGAAACAAATTTTAATTGAGTTGTTTTTCCAGCACCTTATGAGGCCCCTCCTGAACTTGAGGGCATCCTAGAGTCTCTTTTCCTTATCTTGAGACACCCTAAAACTTCCCCCTTATCCTAGACCATAAAACTTCCTTGTCTCCCTCATCCTGAGTCATGAAATTTCCCATCTTCCTTATCCTGAGTCCCCTTTCCTGTCATCCATCTTCCTCATCCTGTATCATGACAACCCCTCCCCTTATCTTGTAAGATAAAACAGACCCCTATCCCTTGGTAAGTTGCTAGTCCTCTTTCCAGAGCTAGCCCACTGCTTTTGCGTCAATAAAGCTCCCAATGATTACAGAGAAGGTCTAAGTGAATCCTTTCACACCTGAACCAGCTTTCCCAACTCTAAGCCTCAACACCACGGGAGGATTGAGGAAGGATAAAAGGTTTGGGAAAACCTCTGTAGTGAGTGAGATAATGAGTCAATTAGAGAGGTGTAAAAGGATTGCTTGGCCATAGCAAGGGTCCATTTGAAATGAAGTTACATAAATTTGTAGTGGACCCAGTAATACGATCTCATGATTTCCTCCACTCTGTTTAGTTATATGTGTGTAGGAACAAAGGCAGTGGATAATGAGAGTAAAGTAAGGCTTAAGTTTGTCAGGGGAAAATCAGCAATAGGATAATAAGCCAAGGGACTTGTCAGAAGAGAACAGTGTAAAATTAAACTGGTCCACCAAGGGGTCAAGATGTGTGGGATGTTTGTGACCCCCAAAATAATCAAATCAGAGACTTTTTCTTAAGAAAGGCAAAAAGGAGTTTTATTGCTTTCTCATGAGAAAGGACACACCCAGCATCACTCAAGATGACTCCAGCCAGGGTATTCAAGGGAGTGCAGCTCAAAATCAGTTTATACAGACCCTAACTTGGAACCCCCACCCACCCACTAGCTCCTCTTCCCATTGATTGGGCTTCAGAGCTCACAGTGTAAGCGAGGAAACTTTTCCCCAGCAACAAGGTCGCAAAAAGGCACAAAACAAGGAACTGTTGGTTCAGCAGGAAAGTAAGATAAAAGGAGGGGAGAGTGGGAAAGCCCGGACAAACAAGATACTTTCGGGAACATCACCTCAAGTATTCCCTTATCTTGTTTACATATTTGTGTAATCAACAACCCAAGAAATCAATTAATCAATAACCTAGTCTCCCCCATCCTGTTTTCTTATCAATTCTGTGGGAACCAAACTGTTAGCATTTCTCACAAAGATAAGGAAAAAGAATATAGCCAGGTCAAGGATGACAGACTAAGAAATGACTTAGGTATCAAAGGATTAGAGGTCACATTGGAAATGAAGAAAAATTTGAGAATGTAAGACAGAAAGAGAGGTGGAATGACAACAGATTGTGACCAGAGAAGGGAATTTCAGAGTTCATGAACGTGGAAATAGAATATTTGTTTCTTTGGTGCATCAAATTTCATAGTGTTCAGTTCCTTCTTCACAAGTCAGCTTTCCAACCTATCTTTAGACAGCATGTGCAGGTTTCTGAATACAGCGAGACAAAATAAGATCTAACAGTACAGTAGGCAAATACGACATAGGAATAAAGAAGAATTGAGCATACCAGCCAGCTGAATAGCGATATCGAGGGTAAGAGGATGTCAGAGCATGTTCCATACAGTCGGTTACCAGGTGCAAGCTCAGCCAAGAACTTTCCAGTGCCTGTTTAGTAAAGCTGAGAGCTGAAAAAAGGAAAAAGTGGTTAGCTTGTTTGTTCCTCACTTTTTCAGTCTAAAATCTGACAGCACAAGTTTACAGAAATCGATATATAACCACTGACTCATACAAATCCAGATGATTTGTGCCTTTGGACAAATCTATGGACAATTACACCAATCATTCAGCATTCGAAGAAAATTGATTTGACTTCTTCAAAATAACTGAAACTTAAACCTTGAAATATGAGCAACCTTCCTTTTATAAGTTTAAAAAAAGATCAATAAGGTATCTTTCAATTATAGTAATAGTATCTAGCATTTATATAATGCATTTTAAGGTTATCAACGTGTTTTGCAAATATCTTGTTTAATTCTCACAACAGCCCTGTAAGGTATGTGCTATTATTATTCCCATTTTACAGATGAGGAAATTAGCCTTACAAAGGCTAAGCGACTTGCCCATAGTCACACAGCTAGTAACAGTCTGAGAGAAGATGTAAACTCAAGTCTTCCAAACTCTAGGTCCGGAATTTTTTCTACTATGTAACCTAACTGACAATCATAAATAACAAGTCCCTGAGTATCCTAACAAAATTAACTTTTTCCTTATTGACTTTCAAATCAGAGATGTGTTTCCCCTAATGAACTGAATTGAAAACTTGGGAGTGTAGAAAGGTAGCCAAACCCCTGGTATGTTGGAGATGGGGACAAAAGGAAGTTAACAGAGGCTGTGTAATGTAATGGGAAGAACATTAGATCCTTGATCAAGGAACCTGGGTTCAAATCCTAT